TTTATCATAAGTAGATTATTTAGCCAGTCCAGGGGGCTCTTAAACAATCAGTTTATATAAGCAGATGAAGAAAATAGCTACCTAGGTTCCAAGGCTCAAGAGATTTGGATCAAAATCAAATTCCACTTAACTGAGCTGAGTTTTCCTTCCCCATAAGGCCCATCACCATGAAATGTGAAAAGTAACCATTCTTATGGTGGCATTGCGCTAAGACTACATGCAGAATTAAAAGCAAAATGTAGACACTGTAAAATCCGTGACAGATGGCACCTGAGCCCCTCTCCAATGGTCCCTTGAATAGGAGAAGAAAGCAGTGAGGGTCAAGAACCAGCACCTTCCAGCCATTTGTCACATGGAATGGGGGCTATAACAGCCCCTGTGTTGAGAAGTGAACTCTATTAACCATCTCCCGAATGAAGAGGCAGGAGGATGATGTGAGAGACATTAGGAAAGAACAGTGTTGACCATTTAAGAGTGGGATTAATTGAAAAAATCTGTTTGAAGCTGGTGGTTTCTTCCTAATTAATTGGGCAATTTAGCATAGGAATGCATTACTTTAGTTCTAAATTATTGTGATCTCTTACAGAGAGAAACTTGGAATACAAATTCTTGGCTGGCCTCTTTGCCATTTGAATCATCCCACCCACTTCTTTCCATTATTCCTCTATTCTCCAGGAAAAAAAAAAATTGCACTTACTACTTACATCCTTCTCTGGAAACTTAAAAATGACTTGGCTTCCGATTCCAACATTTCCAAAATCTCCTTTGATTAATTATAGAAATATAGGGTAAATGTGAATCTAAGACTAGGAATAACCCCCTCCCACTGCCAAGCTGACTTGTAGGAGGAAAAGAACAATTTGGATCAACACAAATGGCTTCTAGCAGCCCAAGGAATCTCCCACTTGCAGAAGTACAAAGTCATAGAACGATTAAAGTGGGCTAAAGGCCAAAGAGCCAGTTAAACTAATGGGGACTTGGGCTCAGTGTTTGTTTCTTCAAGAGTGACCTAAACACACAATGTTTATCATCCTTTCTGGCTGGGATTGGGAAGCTGCAGCCACTTCAGATAGGCCATGAGCCATGAATTTCAATAGGAGAAATTCCTATCGTTGCATATTTTTATAAATGTTTAAGGGGCAATGAAACAGCTGCTGCTGTCAGCAACTCAGAGAAAACACACACAGGATACCGCCTGCTGCCCTGGGAGCTGGCACTAAGCTGGAATCTGAGCTGTGAGGTTAGCACCAGGCTCCTGAGCATTGATCAGGCAGGGAGTGCAAAGTGCAGGGATGACAGCTGACTTGATTTCTAAAGGGGCCTTGGTGACCTCTGCTTGTTGGTATTTATGCCCTGTACTCTCCTCCACGTGGATTGGCTGGTGACTTGCTTCTAACCAAGAGAAGATGGCAATGTGATAGGATGTCACACCCATGATTGGTTTATAAATAACCATGACTTCAGTATGCTGGCTGACTAAAGCCAACATCACGTTGGAGAAGCCTAGCAGCAAGGGGCTGAGGGCAGCCACCAGCCACCAGCCAGCAAAGAACAGAGATTCCTATTTCAACAACCCTTGAAGAGCTCAATTCTGCCCATCACCATGTGAGCATGGAAGCCAATCATTCCCCAGCCAAGCCTTTGAGTGAAACCCAAGCCCCAGCTGACACCTAGACTACAGCCTGGAGAGAGACCCTAAAAACAGAGAACCCAATAAAGATGTACTCAGGTTCCTGGCCCCTAGAATCTGTTAGATAATAAATGGGCATTGCTGTAAGATATAACATTTTGGGACAACTTTTTACGCAGCAGTAGATAACTAACACAGCAGGTGGCCCAAGGACTGGCTAAGCATTCTGATGTAGGCTCCTGCTAATACACCTTGCCTTCCCCTCCTCAGCATCGTTACTTAGTCATGACACAGCCAATGCCTATTTCAGTGTTCCCACAGGGTAGGCTCTCAGCCACCATCACTGCTCACCATTCAGCACCCAGCACAGCACAGCATGTAGTAAATGTCTGAGCTGATGAACTATTTCTGTTAAGGTGGGGGCCAGGGAGGCAAGAAACCTTCACCTTCAGTTCCTAGTATAGGATATCTGTGCTTAAAAGAAAGGTAAAAACATGGTGACTCTTGGGATGTGAGCCTCCTGTAAGATGGCAGACTTATGACTGGGTCTTGGTGGCAGCTGGGCAGGTCCTGCCCCTGGCTGAGTGAGCCTGGCCAGCATGGCTGCCCTCCTGCTCAGAGGTAAAAACATGGTGACTCTTGGGAAGACTCAGCTGTGGATGTGAGCTTCCTGTAAGATGGCAGACTTATGACTGGGTCTTGGAGGCAGTTGAGCAGGGCCTGCTCCTGGCTGAGTGAGCCTGGCCAGCATGGCTGCCCTCCTGCTCAAAGGCTCACCTTTATGGTGTCTGTATCCTCAGAGGAGAAGCCAGAACTCCAGGAAGGAAGGGACACCCCCAGGGGAACTGCCCTTCTCCAAGAAGAGGACGTACAGTCTTTGTTGTGTCCTCTCCGCTCAGAATGCTTATTCCCCTTTACGTACCTTCCTCCCTTGTTTACCTCGCAAATTCTTACTTGTCCTCTAACACCCAGCCTGGCATCAGCTCCACCAGCGCAGCGGCCCTCCCCACTCAGAGCTCATTCCCTCTCCCCACCTCTGGTTCTTGCTGAACCTGCAGGACCATGAGAAATAGTGGTCCTGCCTGTCTTCTCCACTAGCCCAGGAGCTTCCCATTTCCTTAGCCACAACAGGGCTGGCTGGCACACAAGCACATCCAGACAGACCAGTCCTCATCTCTGCCCAGAGAGCTGCCAAAGCCTACTGTTTTCACTCCAGGACCTGAAGTTGGGCACAGCCTGACTTTCCTCAGAAAGGGAAATTAGGGAGAAGTGACAGGAAGACATGTGATGAGCAGAAAGCACATGCCTGAGCAAATGTTCCACCCTGTGAACTTGGGCTGAGGCAGTGTGGGGAGGGAGGTGGAGCAGCTGTGAAAATACAGCAGCGGGTGGTGAGTGGTCAGGTTCCTAAGCAAGCCTGTCCTCTTGGGCAATCAGCTATGCATGTCTACAGGAGAGCACCATCACTGGTGGCAGCTGTTCTGGGCCCACCTAGGGAACTCACCCTACTCCTTGAGGAAAGGAGCTGAGTTCCTGCCTCACAGGATGGGCAGCAGAAGATAGGACATGGCTGCCCATTTGGAGCAGCTGGGTCTGAGGCTGGGAAACGCACAGAAGAGGGAATCACACTTAGTGGTTGCCCTAGACGTGGCCGCAGGAGGGCTACTGTGTACCCAGGCTGCCAAGGGAGGAATGGTGCAGCTCTCCTCTGGCCAGTCACACTTAGAGGAGCTGCATCTGTTCTGAGGCCTCCACGAGAGGAATGAGGATCTAAATTCAGCAAGTGTGGACTTCCAAGCATGTCCTTTGGAGGCAGCAATGCTAAACAAAAGAAGCAAGATGCTACCCTATATTCTCTCTCTCTCTCTCTCTCTCTCTCACGCACACACACACAAACACACACCCCAACCTATCTGTATAGAAAAGACAACTGGAAGAAAACACAAAACATAAATAGTACTTATCTGGGTAGAAGGTTACAGGTGTTTTTGGAAAGCTTTCTTTACAGTTTTCTAATGCATTTTCTAACACTTCCATGACAGGCATCCCTATTGCTACCATTGGGGTAAAGCATGCCATCCATGGAGAGAATCAGGTGTGTGTTTCCTGGGACTACTGTGACAAATGACCACACACAGGTGGCACTAACAATGGGAACCGATTCCTTCCTCTTTCAGGAAGCCAGAACTCGGAAATCCAGGTGTTGGCACAGTTGGTTCCTTCTGGGAGCTTCGTGTGTTGGGGGGTAATCTATTCCATGCCTCTCTCCAAGCTCCAGGTGGTTGCCAGCAATCCTTGGCATTCCTTGGCTTGTGGCCACATACGTAGACCTCTTCACATGCCAGGCTCCTTAATCAATATGCCCTTGTTTTAACTTGAGTGCATCTGTAAACCCTATTTCCAAATAAGGCTACAGGCACAAAATACTGAGGCTTAGGACTTCAGCACAACTTTTTAGGAGGGATAATTCAACTCATAACAAAACATAGTTAGCCTAAAGGAAAACAAAACACAAAGGGCTATGGCCCCTGTGTTTAAATATCTTGCAAGTTCTCTCAGTTTGGAAGGACTAGACTTGGATTACAGTGACTCTGAAGAGAAGAAATGGGACTAAAGTATAGATGCCACTGAAAGACAGACTTGGTCTCAAAACAGGAAGAACTGAGCTGTCCTGACCTAGATTTGCCATCTTAGTTGGAAACCTCTGTCTCAGAGGATGCTGGATCGATTGGAGCCCCCCTCCCCCTATTTCTAATGCAATGGTATTTGGAGAGAGTGTTGGGCTAAATATGTTAAGATCCTGGCAGCACTGAGACCCTGCAACCCACACACAAGTGTCATCCTACGCAAGACAGGCCACCCCAATACAGTCTATTCAGTGTCTCAGTAGCTTTGCCTCATCCAGACTGGGCAACACTGGATCTTAAGGGCAAAGCAACACTGCCTACCATTTTCTTCCTTTTGGTCTCAAGGGAGGCTAGAGAACACACTCAGAGCTGACAAGGAAAAAGACAACATGGAATTCTGGGAGTAGGGCCACATGGAGAACCCTGATCCTAAGGATGTCCCCCCAGTCCTAATAGCACCTGAGGAACCAACCCATGTCCCCAGGTCAAACCCACCAGAGGCCATGGCCCACAGACCAGGATCAGAATTGCTGAGAAAACACTCTCTGATTTGTTTATGTGCAGGGAGGATTGCCCTAAGAATAACATTTACACAAGACATGGCAGCAACATTGCAAGTCAAGCTTTATTTATTTAAAAAAAAAAAAGAGGCAAACTCTTGTTTTTGGTGAGAAGGAACCACTGTACTCCAGAGTGCCTTTTTCTTTTCAGCGCAAATGCAAAGCAACACACCCACCACTCACCTCTCCACGGGGTCTCTGAGCATGACGATCAGCTTGGCGTCTGGCTGAAAGGCGTGGATGAAGTCCTGAGTCAGGAACGGTGGCTCTCCATCTGTGCTGTTGTCGTAGAAGAAAGTCCAGGCATTGTTATCCCACATTGTGGAGGCACTGGCCTCACCTGGAAACAGAAGGTCCGGCAAATGAGCAGTTACTGGGGTGTGGGGAAGGGCTCCCACTGTGAACCAGAGGCCAAGCCTGGCTCCATGCCTTCCTGTTAAATAGCCGTGACAGTCAAGCTTGTCAGCCATTGCTGACAGATGAGACTTTGGGAAGAAGAAGACTAGAGGCCACCCCCACCACAGTGACTCCCCTACACACTGCAGTGACTCCCCTACACACTGCAGTGACCCCACCCCCAACCCAAGGACATCTGTCTGGAAATCTAGGCAGTCCACACAACACTGAGTGTCCCTTTCTCTCCCAGATCCTTTGCCCAGGGTGAACAAAAACGTAACCTTTCCTAGCATTCAGCCCCTTAATTTCACAACATTCACTTTGCTGGCAGCTTATTGCTCTATGGCATTTTAAGGGCCCACTGAGAATGTGCTAGATGGTTTCCTTCAAAAAGTATTAGGGAGAAAGGAGCTGTTTGGGGAAGATGACCCCAGTGGAAAGTTGGATGCAAGTCACATCTGTCTTTCCTTGGAACTATGACAGTTAGTCACAGAGCACACTCTAGGACCAAATGAGAAGGCTTTGCCACAAGCCCAGGCAGCCTCAACCTTGGGGTCTGTCTCCTGCATGGCCAGCTGTCCTCTGCCCATGCCTCTCCTCCTGCTCTGCACAGATGGCAGTCACTCAGTGCTGGCTGGCCAAACAGGTCCCAGCCCTGTTTTATTGTGGTTCACATGACTGAAGGATGAAAATGTTAAACACCTCTAAGAACAGAGGTAAGATTAAGACACAGGCATTTCAACAACATGTACTCTTTTAGATAATTGAACTAATTCCCTGATTTTTTTTTCTTTCTTGAGGACTGTCTTCAGAGACTTAGAAGGAAAGGCAAATCAGTTAGTTCTATGATCCAGTTCTACAGATTGCACATAGGTGACATGACACATCTCAGTCATTTATTCAGGGAAAATCTAAGACCACAGACTGAGTCTCTTTGGTCAGTGATAAGTACATTATATTATAATCATGCAGGAAGTTAGCAGGCCTATTTCTTCTATTGGATGTGTAATCATTTCAGGTGAATGCTGCTGTTCTGGCCTTTTTCCCTTTATTATTTTTTTTAAAAGATAATACCCTAGGATACAGAAAAGACAAGTCAATCAGAAATCCTTTGAACATTCTCTTCACAATGAATAAGGAAATATAAAAGACAAGTGAGGTATCTAAACCTAAATTGGCATATATTCTGTCAGATCTCAAAAAGAAACTGGCTGTAGAGCCACAGAGGCATGAGTCCATCTTCCCATTGGTCTGTCCACCCATCCATCCATCATCTATCCTTCATCTACCCATAAAACACTCATTTGATGTTTAATCTGTGTCCCACATTTTACTTGGCACTGGGGACAGGGGAGGGAAACAAGACACACAGGGACTCTCCCTTTTGCACCTTACAATCTAAGGGAAAGACAGATAATTCAAGATTCACACCTGTAATCTCAGCTACTCAGAAGGTGGAAGAAGAAGGATTGAGGTCTGAAGCCAGCACAGCCAAAGTTAGGGAGACCCTATATCAAAAACTAAAAGCAAAAGGACTTGGGGACGGGGCAGGGTGCCACATGGGCAGAGGCCAGGGCCTTTCAACAGCCCAAAGCCCCTGCCTCCTGTGTGCCTCCCACTGCCAGAGACTGCTGAGAGGAAAGGTCCCTCTAATCCACAGATCCAAGGTGGTAAGAGACCCTCCTGCCTCTGCCAAGGCTCTGGCCAGGAGGACGAGCTAAAGCAAAGCTGAGTCACAGTTCAGGGCTGGGAGAAGCCAGAAACTAACATGATCCAACAATCCCATTGTACAGACATGTAGGCTGAATTCAGGACTAAATCCTGACTTGGCACATGGCACAGGGCTGGCTGGTGACACAGCAGGACCGGACGCCAGCTCTTTATCTGCCTCTCCATCCTATCCATCACACAATGAGGCTACCATAAAACACACCAAACCTAGCCTGGAGTAAATACTAATGTGGTATTTTCATTTCTTGTTCTTTTTTAAGTCTTACAGTAACTAAAATTAGGAACCCAAGCAAAGGCTTTTCTTTCCTATGTATTAGTAAAGTCTGTTTCCTGGCCCTAGGATGAATATTTTTAGCAATCTCATAGAATCTGAGATTTCTCCCAGAGGCATATAGTATGGGAATCACAGCAAAGTATTAATTAGACTTTTTATCTGGGATATTTGGACCTTCAAGTTAATAAAAATTAATAGCCAATTCATATAGCAGGTGTGTGGGGGCGCCACACACGCATTGCCAAAAGAGTCAATTTCAGGTGCTCCCAGTGACTTGACTTAGGAGTTTTAAAAAAATATCACTTGGGGCATTGGCACATAACTCATGTTTCCTCGGACATGAGAGTCACAGGGAAAGGGTCCTTATTCCAGTGGCCAATTACAATTCATCTCCTCACTGACACATTCATTGGATTTAGAGAATCAAAATACAATAGCTCTAGAAAACTAAAAAACAAAAACAGATCAGTGCTTCAGGTAACCAATTTTAGCAAAAAGTATGATTAATTTTCTCTCTTCAGAAGGCATCAGTGGATACCCGCCTGTCCTGAGCTGAATCCAGTGAAAGAGTTACGTTAGATGAGTGAGTCTAGAGGTCTAGATGAGTAGAGATAAAATTGTCAGAGTAGATGCTGGAAATTTGCCAAAAGTCAATTTCAGGTGCTCTTACCATAAAAAAGTAAACTATGTGAAGAGAGAAATACGTTAATTTTCTTGGCTGCATTCATCATTTCATCATGAATATCAGAACATCAAGGGTACAACTAAATACACAGTAAAATAAATTTCTAAAAGAGTCTATGTTTTTTGATAAAAGTTTTGAAATTTTTTTAAACAATTAATCAAACTACCTTATTTTGAATCCCCAGAGACATTAGGTTGACGAGGGTGAGACCTCTTACTCAGCCATTAGTCCTGGAATGTGCAGAGGGCTGTCTGGTTCAGGAGACTCTGCCTCCTTCCTCATATGGCCACAGTGGCCCAGGTCACAGAAGCCTGAGTCTTAAATCAATGACTAACCAATGGTCTCACTGGGATCAGTGAACTGTGAAAAGAAGTCAAGGGTGCCTGCTTGATTTAAGTAAAAACAAAGAAATGGCAACTTTTTAAAACAGGCATGTCAGCCATCCTTGAGTCTGCATGGAATGAGAGCACTGGCTAAACATTTCTGCTTCATAGTAATGGTACAGTGATGTGGACATTTTATGTAGGAGAAAAAGTGACAGCCATGTGGGGAAGAGAGGGTTCTTGGTCGTCTACAGCTATCTGCAAGTGCTCTGCTGGTGAGACTGAGCTGGGCCCTGCTCAGAGCATGAGCCAGGACCCCAGAGATACTGCTCCCCCTGCCTCCCCCTACCCCAACCTGTGCTGAAGCCATACCAATGATGATCTTATTTATCTGGCTCTGATCCTTTGTGGAGCTGGCCTGCAGGCCTTGATGGATTTGGTGGGCAGCCAAGTCAAAGAGGTCTAGATAGTCCTCCACAGGGTAGCGGTCTCGAAGCCCATCCCTCAGGCGGACAATTCCTACAAGAACCAAGAAGCAGGTTATGAAGGACAAAACTGCCACAACTAGGATGGTGGCCTGGGCCCAGCTGCCTCAGCAAAAGCCTTAGCCTAGTTTAAGTTTCAGGAGGGTGGGGACCGACCTCATGCCCTTTTTCAGTGCATGCACACTTCAGCGGGTAGAGGATACCATTGCTACTGGGCAGTGGCCACTTCAAAGACAGCACTATATTCAAGTGCTATAAAGCTATAAACATGTTTTGGAGGGCCAGAGTTTGGGACTGATTAGCATGTGCATTAGGTGAGACTAAAGTGGCTCACAAGAGTAGCATGCAGGATACACTCAGTGTGTCAAGTAGGAAAAGGGAGAAAGGACAGCCAGACAGGAAGGCTGCTTCCTATCACCTTCGTGGTGCCTATTCCTTCCCCAAGGCCTGACAGCATCTACCTGGTGTCCTCCAGACCTCCTCAATCAAGCAGCTAGCGATATACTCAAACAGTAAAGGGAACTGGTCATCCTTTGGATGGACACAGATTCTGGCAATGGTCAAAATCAGCCTAAATTTATCCCTTGCCTTAAAAATAGGCAAGTTCCACTCAAACATTTTTTTAAAAACACACTGCCCAACACCACAGCTATCAAAGTTAAAGTAAAATGGGAAGAGAACAACTCTGGCCCAAATAACAAGAGGTTCAAGGTGACATTGATTACCAGCTTTTAAGGTGTGCCCTGTTCCTCCCTTTCTCCTGCCAGTAGGAAGCTGGTTTTCATTAAGAGAAAACACCAAGCCATGGAGGGAGAGCACCCTACAAGGGTGGAGTGTGTTCAGACACTTCCGGAAAACATGTATGGATGAGAACCCTTGGCTACCACAGCAGCCTATGCTAAACCACACTTTTGTTCACTCCAGATGAACATCAAAAGGATGAAATCAAATATTTTTCAGGAAGCACACTAAGAGTGGTCTAAGAAAAACTTTAAAGAGTCTCTTCCAGTAACCTGGGTCCTTTATGCAGAAAACACCCTCATAGTTCACCCAGACTTTGGCAGACAACAGGCCATGCATCACCCCTTAGCTGTAGTGACCAAATGTCTCCTGGCAGAAAGGAAAAGGTTATGGAGAGGAAACAGTGACCAGAGGGCCACAAGGTACCTGGGGCTGGGCTGGAGCAGAAACCAGCGTACAGGGAGTGGTGGGTGGTGTTGATGTTCACCCATGGCAAAAGGGTGTGGAGAGCAAGGTCTCCAGAGATAACTGCTTTGGGTTTCATACCACAACACGTGAGGCAGAAAGGGCAAGTCAGACAAGACAAGGCCTGAAGCAGCTGTGTCTCCTCCAGGTGCAGGGCTCTAACAAAACAACACGAAGCTGGGTGAAAGCCACCCCAGCCCAATAGGGTGCTTCTCACCAGTCCAGACCTGGCACATATTGCTCACTGCTAGGGTCATGTGCCAAAGTCCTGGGTTCAATCTCCAGTAATAAACACACAAACCCCACACACATACACACACTGCCCTTTCTGTAACTGTCTCCTTGTCCTGCACAAAGCAGGCACTCAATCAGTTCTCACTGGGTTCCAGCCCTTGATGTATCTTTACCCATGAACGGCTGCTATGGTTTGGAATTGGTCTGAATGTGTCCCTCAAAGGTTTATGGTCTCCAGTGTGGTGATGCTGAGTGGTGATGGAACCTTATGAGGCAGGACCTAGTGGAAGGTGATTAGGTCATAGGGACACTGCCTGGAAAGGGATAGTGCTGGTCTCTTGGAGTGACTTAGTGTCTGTGAGAGTGTGTTATTACAAAGCAAGGCTTCCCCATGGACTTGGCCTCTTCTATACATGGTCAGTTTCTTTCTCCTTTCTCTGCAATGTTGTCAGGCAGCCAAGGGGCTCTTGCCAGGACATCAGCACCATACCGTTAGATCCTCCCGCCATCAGAACCATGAGCCAAATCTCTTTTTAAGTTACCCAGCCTCCAGAATGTTGTCATAGCAACACAAAGCAGACCAATACAACTGTTAATGACAAGTGATCAAAAAAATCTTCTCATCTCCCCTGCCTGCCTCTCCCACAGAGACTCACACCCTCCCCATCCCCAGCCTTAGAGTGCACCCATAGAAAGAATGAGAAGCAACGAGAGGAGACCCAGCACTCACCGAACCGCTTCCGGGTCCACCAGTGTGGCTCCTTGATGGCCGAGAATTTCACTTCCGGGTGCAGCCGGAGGCGGTCGTAGAGGTCGGTGGTTCCGCACTTGGGCTGCCCAATGATGTAGAAGTGCGGCAGGCAGCGCAGGCGGAAGTGCTTCCCGTGCGCATGCGACAGGTGGCCCCAGAAGGCCTTGCGCAGGGCGTCAAAGGTGGAACGGAAGCGTTTAGAGTAGAGCACATAGGAGTTGGTCAGGTAGGGGTCAGTGGTGTTCCTGCCTGAGAATTCCTCGTACCAACATGGGCTCTTACTGTTGGGAAGGAATTTATTAGGGATTACTGAAAACATCTGCAATGAAAAAGAAAAAAGGAAGAGACACTCAGAGGGGGGGAAAAACATGTTCTAATCATAAAATGATAATGCACTAATCCTGATTACAGTAATCAAATTTGAACTATATGTGACAGTGAAAGATGAAATAAAGCTAAACTTGGTAGAAAGCCAATGACTTATGTTTTCCTTTTCCCAAGATAAACAAATTTGGAGAGAATAAAAATAAAATCCATTCTACTACAACTTACATTTCTTACACCTACACGTGCACACACATGCAATCTGAACAGTTGGAATCTTTTTACTACTTGTGTATTTAAACAGCCAGTAGGGACAAAAATAATGATTAGTGCAGAATTTAGAAAGTCAAGCTGAACCCAACTTTAACACTCTAAATCACGGTGATCTAGAAAAGCAACTTTAACCACCACGATCCCATTCCAAACAAGAAGTCCTGGAATCAATCACAAAGGGAAGGTCCTTTTATTTCTAATAGGGCCATTCTGGACTGCAAATTCCCTTCTTGGTGTTCCATAGCATAAACACAGTGCTCTGATCTGAGAGGCTATCAAATTATCCTTGCTACATCTGAAAATTTTTTCAGACATTTTCCTTCTGTGTTCCCAAAATGGTGATAGGAAAGGAAGCATCCACTTTTTAAGGTCAATCAACTGAGATTAGCATGAGGCTACTCACATGCAACTCCTGCCTCTTGAGATCTTGTAAGTCTGGAAGTTGTCTGGTGGTGAACTCAATCCTGGCAGTGATGCTGTTGATAATTAATTTAATGCTTGGATAGTCCTTCACATATGAAATATTATTTATGGAGGGTTGGTGGTGATGCTCTTTCATGTCGCTTGGGTTTTCACTGTCCATTAAGCTGGGATTACTGGGAAATCCGCCATAATGGAAAGGAGATGAAATCAGAAGCTCCTGGTGGGCCCCAGAAAGGATGTAAGAAGCCATCACCAAGGTCATTATTATCAGTCCAAAAACCAGGCTACATCGCTTCCCTTTCTTAAGGCGCAAAAACCCACCCCAGTTCTCATTCCCCTCAGTCCTCACTTCGAGAACGGCAAGCAAGTTCATCTGCTTACTGTCTACACGAAACAGAATTTTGTTTTCTCCTTTACACGTGGGGCACACCTGGTGACTATGAGGGGGGCCTCTGTGGCAGTCGACTTGTTTGTGTGCGTTGTCGGGTAACAAGTGTATGCAGCAATTAATACAGTGCCTCATGGTAGTGTCCTTGGACTGCTAACCTATCGAGCCATGGGCAAGCCCCCAAAGAATCCCTATGCATGTGAGCCGTGCTGGGAAACTTTAAGGATGCCCGGTGAGTCCATAAGATGGTTGGAAGGCAAAAGCAACAAAAGCAAATATATAAATGAGCAGACACCAATGCACTAGAGAAGGAGGAAGCACATTCTTTAGTTCAACTCTGCAAGACAACAGAAGGAAGTGATCTCCAGCTGTCATGTTCTATACAAGTCACTGCAACACAGAAGTGGTCACAAGTATGGGAGCAATTCTGCCTGTGTTTCAGGTTTTTCCCATGGCACCAAAAAAAATGAGAGCAGTATCACTAGAGACCATGGAGACATAGGAGAGATTAGAAGAGGTCATGGTCTTCTCACTGATGGATGGACTGGCATGCCATCCATGGAGATGCCTGAGACTTTTACATCCTGTGTTTCCTCTTCATGAGAAGCAAACTCTTAAAAATGCCCGATAACCTAAACAGAAAGAAAACAAGTATTACTGCATTATGTGGTAACAGCAGTGACAAAGGGATGGTCTCTCAGGGAGAAATAATAGATCGCCACTTCTCTCTTGCACTTCTCAGTTTCAGCCACATCTTCTTGGTCACAAGCAAGTCACAGAAATAACACGGATAAAGGGAGAAGTTTCAGGTTTGTTTGTTTTTTTCTTTCATGGTACTGGAGATTGAACCCAGAGCCTCCAATATGCAAGGCAAGTGCTCTTCCACCTAAGTCATGCCCCCAGACCATTAATTTTTTAAGATAGGGTCTTGATTCCTTTGCCTGGGCTGGCATTGAACTCTCCATCTTCCTACCTCCATCTCCCAAATAGCTGAGATTACAGGAGTATACCACCACACCTGGCAGGTTCTCTTATTTGGCTTTAGGGTTCAGTCTCTGCTACCAAATGTGGCCCCAAACATCAGCACCTCCAGCATCATGTCAAACACCCCACATTGTACCCCATAAGTTATGGCATCTGAGTACCCCAGTATTCTGCAACCATTCTCAGATTTGTTCACAGTCAATGACTGAATTTGAGGGATAAGTTGAAATATCAATGCTTTTAGGTCAGTGAAAAATCTGAAGAATAATAAGGACAGGATGGTTAGGATGGGAAGAAGTAGAGAAAATAAGTTGGTTTTTTTTCCCTCCCAATAACGCCAGTAGTCTCTTAGCTACAGCTAACTTTTGCTATCAGTTTAGGAAGCAGAAGTTAATGAAAATTTAGAACAATGAAATGATTCTCTTCAGTAGAGTGTATCATATAAAAGAAAACCATTTGACTTTAAGTTATTAAGCAATTAAATCCAATGTACAGTATTCCCCTGAGCAAGCTAACACTTCAGACCCTGAAATAATTTTTCACTTTCATCATCTTGAGAAGACATGATTCTTAAAACTCCATTAACATAATCCTGTGCCTGTAAATGTATTGTTGCCCAAATGACACTTCCTTGTACATGTATAAAAAGGAGCACTGGATGAGGAAAAAAAGAAAAATGGAGGTCTACTTGGTTTCTAACTCTTATAGATCCCCATCTACTGGCTGTGTGACCTTGACAAAGCCATTTGACCTCTCTGAGACTTGGTTTCCTCACCAGTAAAATTAGAATAAAAACAGTATCTCCCTTAGAAGTTCATAACAAGTACTAAGTTAGTTAATATATGTAAAGAATTTGCATAAAGGCCTGATATGCATTTAGCATCTCGTAAAAGGTATATAACTGATAATAATAACATTGTCAATGACAATAACTATTAGGATTTTTAATTATTGATTAATTCCAAGAATATTTGAAATGCAATCCCAGCTGGGAAATCCTAAGCCACATTACTTTCCCTTAGCAGCTGACAATTACCCAAGGGCACTAGCCTGGCCTCCAACTCTACTTATCTCCCCCACAACCAAACAATCCTGTACCCAGAGAGGTAGCATTAACTAACCCTTCATTACAGCTTCTGCCTACTGCCTGGAGGACCAAGCAATCAGAACTCAACAGAAGAAATCTTTACTTTGCTTGGACAGAAAAGCCCATGTTTTCTTGAAATATGTTGGTCAAGAAGTAGCCAAGCAATGTTTCCCAAAACATCCTCCACCCACAAAATGTCCTGCATGCTGTCAGTAGCTATTTTTGCTTAAAGTATTTGAAGAAAGGTGGGATGGAGAAAATAACCCAGAATTCTTTACAGCAGGACTTTGAGGGTCTTCAATATGTTACTAAGCCCAGGGAATCCACAGCCAGGAATATAATAAGCAAAATTTGCCAGAGTTTTCACTAAGGTCTCAAGTCCCAGCTTGAGAAGAACTGGTTCAGAGATTAGAATCACATAGGGCCTGGCAGCACAGAGAAGGGAAGCGTGGGAGAAACTGTTCTGGGGGGCCAGATGACCCCCTCTCTGGCCCCCTCTCTGTCCCTTAGGGCAGCTGGAATGGCATGTGAAGAGCCTCAAGCCTCAGGCCTCTGCTTTCAATCACCCCTGACCCATCGCTTGGTACAAACAATTCTTCCAAACCAAAGAAACAAAAGGGCAAGATCCCCTACTTGGAAACTCCATCACTAAAGCCAAGAAAACATTTTTTCACATGTCAAAGACAAGGCCAAGCCAGGGTTAAAAATGAGACTACAACCAGGAGCTCGGTGGAAAGCAGTTTGCACCCTTCTGTCTTTCTGCTGCTGAAGGTCTAATTAGATTCTTTAAAAAAATAAAATAAACAAACAAACATGGGCTTTGAAGCCCCAAGACAAGAATGTACACAATCTGGACCCAACGGAGAATGGGCGAAACATTCCTGACTGAAGCAAAAGTATCTCATTTCAAGCAAAGTAAATAAACCTAGGGAGTCGGGGAGCAGAAGTCTCAATGGAGGAACCCAGGACAGGACAGGCTCAGAGGTGCCAGGCCAAGTGTTCTGGCCTCACCTTCAGCTCCAAGGCCGCTTCTTACACATGAAGAACTGGGAAGAAACTCGGCTGCCTCCTGGGCCTTGGCAAAACAATGTTTTCTCATCTCTTGTCATTCAGTCATTCACTCATCCTCAGCTCCAGGCACACAGCTTCTGAATCCTAAATTCATGGGCAGATAGAAGTTGCTTTCATCATTACTAACAAGCCCTTTTCAACCATACCTGAGTTTATGCTAAAAAGATGGCTCTTGGTGGGTCATGAGGCAGCTTTAGGATGGGGTCTGGTCCCTAGGAAGACCAAGTCTTATTTAGAAGCTTGGAACTCTCAGCCCAGTTTCCCCAACCTCCAGGCAGGAGAAGCGGGACTTGAGCCTGGGTTGATCACAAGTGGTCACTGATGTAATCAATCGTGTCTACATAATGGGGCCTCCACAAACCCTCCTAAACCATGGATCTGAGATCTTCAGGGTCAGCAGACACATAGAAGTGAAGGCGTGCAGAGCCAGGACAGGAAAACCCCATATTCCTGCTTCCCCTCCACACACATACACACTGAGCATCCTGCCGGCTGGTCCTGGACCTCATAAACTGTGATCCTGACAAAAGCACTTTCCCAAGCACAATGAACTGTTCAGCATGTTATCAAAACTGTGCCGAGAGCTGTGGGAAACCTCCCACCCTTGGTGGTCAATTCAGACAGAAGTGTGGGTGCCCTGGGGAACCAATCCTCGTGACTGGTGTCTGAAGTGGGAGCAGTTCCATCAGACCAAGCCCTTAAATTCCAGACAGTTGGAGCCGGAACTGAATAGTAGGACTCTGGGTTGGCATCAGAGAGTTGGAGAATTTGTTGGTGCTGGAAACACCCCAGGGAGAGAGTAAAGAATCCTCTTATAAAAAAAAAAAAAACCAGAAAACTGTCTTACATTTTCAAGTTTTACCAAAATATATAACCACTGTCTATAAATTACATCTCAATAAATAATAATCTCGTGATGTAAATTACATCTCAATAAATAATAATCTCGTGACCAGGTGCTTACACCGCCAGCACCCTGTAGGTCTTGGAAAGGTCTGGACCTTCAGAGACTCAAGCTACACAGCCTCCCGCACAACAGAAGAGCATGGTGCAGAGATGACCACAGAGGGGATTCTTCACCACCTGAGCTGGGTTCTATTCTCCCAGGGCACTGCAAGACATCAGGATAAAGAAGTCACAAGTGAGTAAGATAAGCTCTGATGCTGTTAAAGGCTAGGGAGAAAATTAAAAAACAAAAACACAATAAAAACACAGAAGAGGGTTTTTCACAGCTGCAGCGCTGTACTTGGCTGGAGAATTCTTTGGGGTGGGGGCAGTTCTGGGCACGGCAGGGGTTTAGCAGTATCCCTGGTCTCCACTTACCAGATGCCAGCAGAGCTTCCCCTGTGTTGTGACAAGGAGAAACATCTCTAGACATGGCCAAAAGTCCCCAGGGAAGGGCATGATCACCCCCAGGTGAGAACTTCCTTAGAGGAAGGAAAACAATGCACAGGGTGACCAGAAAGGAACTAAATTCCAGGGGCCATTTGACCAGAAGCCTGAATGACAGAAGGAAGCCAGTCCGATAGAGGTGAGAAGAGGAATCAAGGCCCTGGGAAATCAAAGCCCCTGAGAACCATTGGGAGGTATAGCCTTGGGGACTTGGGCTGGGGGCATTGGCGCAAGAACCAGATAGGCAAGGAGGCAGCGACCAGACTCTGTAGGGCCTTGAAGGCCAGTCAGGGGTAGGGTTGCTCCAGTGTAGAAAGGGAGGCTTACTACACTGTCTTTCAAAAGGATCCTTACAATATGTGTAGCTATTAAATAACAATTCAGTGAAGTAAAATAAAATTAATGTAAGAGTACTGGAAGAAAAATGAATTGCTATCATGTTTCTTAAATGGTCTTCTCCATATGCTACAGCTTATCCCAAGAACACTCACTCAGAAACCTAACACTCATGAGTTCTTCCTTCAGAAATAAGTAATGCACACCCCCTGCACTTCACCTGTCTGGAATGTCCACATTTGGTGCCAGTCGACTCCGGTTAGACAGAACCCTGGGCATTTCGTGTATTAAACCAGAGGACTCAGGTTTACATTTTGAGATTGCTTCCCAACCCAGGCTCCATTCTGTGCCCTATGGATGCAGACCATAACTGTGGGAACCCAGTGCCACCATGAGAGATCAGATAACTGGTCCCCAAATAGAATGCATTCAATTACACAGCCTTTGCTTGGATGCCCCCTATTAACCTCTGCACCCCAGGCATCATTAGCAAGCCATTTATAACAAAATTGTAATTGAGAGACCCAGAAATACCACTTTAGATTAAGTAATTGAATGCCCCCTCAGTGTAAGATCAATAAAGGGCATCCAATTTCACCCTAGGAAAAACTTATTAAATTATTGTAGCTATAAGCTGATATAGCAGAAGAAAGATATATGAAACTTCAAAAGAAATCTGGATGGATTTAAATAAATAGCTTCATTTAGGTGGAACATTTACATCTGCCCTCTGGGGAAAGTAAAGAAAAAAATAGCTAATTA